TGCCTTTCTTGAATTTCTGACCCACAGAACCTGTGACCGCACCACTGTAATTCGGGGTGATTCTTTACATAGCAATAGCTAATAGCCCAAACGATGGGGTTTAAGTGGGGTCACAGAGGGAAAGTTCTTCCCAGTGGGCCAAGGTTGGAGAGGGGTGGTGAGCCTGGCTACAGACACTAGGAGGAGGGAAGATGGAAGCTGTAGAGCTGAGTGCTGGTCCTGGCTGGTAAACTGAAAAAGCTGCCACAGTGAGGCTCCCCACTAAAGCTGCTTCTCTCCAGCTGAGAGCCCCTAGCCCCTCAGCCGAGATTCATGTGACTACATGCTGCTATCCTCCAAAAAGCACCCTCACTAAAGCACAGTACTAGGAACAAGCTCAGGTCTTCCGTTGTTTGCGTAGGTCAGGGGAAGGTGGCACGGTCACCTCCCTGGATTGACGACTTAGACCTCTATTAATGCAGCCCAAGGATAGGTTCACTTTTATAACCACATGTCTCAGTTGAGCTGACTATGAACTACAGTCCCTAGGTTGCTCCTGTGCTGTTGAGTCCCTGCAACAACTCAGCCCAAGCTGGTGCTCGGTCCAACGGGCCTTGTGGCTACCTTGGCTGGGAAGACATGTCACCGTCATTCTCTGGGTGTGTAATGCTGCACTGAGAGGCCCATGCTTCCATGGCTGGACCCCTGAACTCTCTCGGTTGTAACTGGTCACCAGGCCAGCCCTGTCCACCTCTGCAGCCACTTGGGTCTGAGAAAGGAGATGTGGGCGCATGGGAAGGATCTCCTGCAAGCTGGGGGTCAGGAGGTCTGGGTTCTGATACTCGCTTCTCACCATCCCTCACCCCCCATCACATCCTCAGTAATGAAATTAGAGAGTGAGCAGAGGGGCAGTTCCCCCCACCCCACCCCACCCCAGAGGCTCTCCAAATAAGCTCTAGGAGGCAGGGCCCCAATACCAGGGAAGTGCATGTTCCTGGTGGATGATCCTCCCCACTCAGAATCCAGAAGGGGCCACCGCATGCCCTTTCTGGCCTGCCCAAGGCAGCATGGTTCCATGGGTTTCCCCTTCCCTACTTCCGAGTGACCAGGGCCAGAGTCCGGGTCAGGCCAGAGCAGCCTGTAGTTAATGTTGCAGGCAGAAACCAGACTTAGAGCCAATTAGCCGTTTTCTCCCTCTTACCCCAAAGGAAATTGCCTTTTGCGCTGTCAACTCCCTAATTACCAGTTGGGACGACTGAGATCTTGAAGACAATTAGGGGGAGGTCTGTCTTTTCCCAAACTCCCTGGTGTCCCTTCCTCCCCAGTCCCGCCCCTGTCTGGAGCCTTCCTCTAATTTGGAGCCACTTAGAAAAGACCGGGAAACCTTTAAAGTGAAGAAGAATGTCTCCCGGAATGCCTCCTGCCTGTTTTATAGCTGTAGCCGGGCGGGCGGGCTGGCAAACACGCTTGCTCTGCAGAAGCACGAACGATGCATCTGGTTCAAGGGGCCTGTGGCTACAGCATCCTGCTGTAAAAAGAGCTGCGGGTCTGATGGTTGAAGGGGGACAAAGGGGCAGGATTCCTCTGCCCAGTGGGCCAGGCGTCACCCTAAACCAGAAGAGGGAGCCTCCAAGCCAGGTCTGGGACCTCTTTGCCTGGTCCTGCTTGGGTCACCTCTGGATGGTTCGGCCGCCACCTCTGAGCCGCCCTGGCCCCTCTGCTCCCCTCTCCTGCCTGGCCCCTCACATTATATGCCTTCCTATCTGGGCAGCTCTGTGGGCACTCTGGGATGTTCCATACATCCGCCTGCTCTTCTCGCAGAGCAATGACAACTCCCATTTTGTCCTCATTCTCAAGTCCTCGTTTGATGGACCCGAGCCCCTAGTGCCTCCTCTGAATGAGTGATGGGGCTCTGTCCCCTCACTCTTGAAACCATACCTGTTTTTTCCCCCTCAGTGCTCAGCACTCATAAATACTCCATAAATATGTGATGAATGAATGAATAAACTCAGCATTGTCTGACTGTGTTACTAAAATGATTCAAACCCAGGGATTTGTTAAGGATGAGTTTTTAGTCCCCCAGAACACCAGGGTGGGGCCACAGTAGATAATCAATGAGCATTTGCCAATTTTGAGTTGCCTTTGCTTGGGGAAGTGGTGAGCTCCCCGTCACAGCCAGTGTGCAAGCAAGAGCCACTTGAGAGAGTCTGCAAAGGACACTCAGCATCTAGCAGGGCTAGGTGGGCTGGATTTAGGGGGCCAATAGATTCCACTGGGTCTCTGAGATCCCTCTAGCCAGAAAGTCTATGACAACGATTGCCCACATGGAAGGTTATGTATGAACAAACCCTGGGAGCCTGATTTACTGAGGCGCCTCTGTGCTCCTAGTGGCCAGGTGGCTGGAGGCCAAGGAGCAATGATGATAAGGCCCCGAGGCCAAGGGAAAGGCAGGTAGTCGCTGATCTACAGAGTGGAGGGGTCAGAGAGAAGCAGTGATTCCAGTGGGAGAAGGGAGGGGAGGGAAAGCAGGGAGGGCTTCTGGGAGGAGGTGCGAGGTGATAGGAAGTGGGAGGATGGAGGCATGGTTGGGGTGGGGGAATATGCTCCAGGGTCAAAGGTTTGGAGAAAGAAGATTTTGCAAATCACTGGGAAAGTGGTGAAGGTCGAGGTGGTGGCCGGCTGACCGTGAAGAGTTAGAAGGGAGAGTTAGGGGTGAGGAGTAGCAGGCGGGGTCACCTGGCCCACCTTGCCCTCTTGTGGTGGGAGTGACACCTGTCAACCTGCAGGGCGAGGGCCAAGGCCAAAGGCAGTTGATGTCTTTCAAGCTCCCTTCCAGGTTTGGTGACCCCTGGGAGCTCACGTTGCCCTCTAGAAAGTGGGGTGCTCTTCACAAGGGGCTTAGTACTCCTCTGAGTTCCCCGGACTGGCCTGGAATTCCAGTTTGGAAGCTACGTACTCCCGGGAGGCCCCGGCTGAAAGCACAGACCCCTCTGGGGTCTCTCTGACCCCCGGAACCGGCCACCACCCCGTGGTCTGTGGGGCCGAACAACAGACTCGCCCCAGCCGCACCTGGCTGACGGGCCGTGAGTTTTGTCAGCGTGGGGGGCCCTGCCTTCCAAGCCTGGGGCCCTCGACTCCAGAGGCCAGCTCGTTTTCACGGCGCTTCCCCTGCTCGGGGCCGCTGCAGGCCCACGCCCCGCCACACCCCTGCTCGCCGCAGGGACAGAGGTTCTCCAACCATCTCTCCCGTGAGTTTTCACAGTCCCTGCCGGCTTTCGGAGCGGCTCGGCCTGCTTTTGTAGCACGGAGGAGGGAGGCCAGGGAAGGAGAGCAGTGGGACGAGTTGGCTAAGCCCCTGCAAGCCCTCTTGTGGCTTAGCCGCCTCTCACAGGCATTCCATCTTGCATTTCCCTCCTCCCGGCAGGCTGGGGGGGGCTCTCCGCTCACCCGGGACTGTCCTGAGCCCCCCGGAGCCCCTCCAAGGGTGAGAGGCCTGGCTGGTGATCCCCAGAGGCAGGAGTTTAGTGGCATCGAGCCCTTGTGCGAGGAGACCTCCGGCCGGCAAGAAACAGGTGTTAAAGCCCCAGATGGCCAATCTCCCCCCGTTCAGCAAGCCCAGAGCCAGGGGGCCCCAGGCCCAGGCTCGTGGACGAGGCGAGGAGAGGCGGCTCCCCGTAGCCGGTGTGGGCGGTGGCCACCTGCCCCACCACGTGGACCCAGAGAGGGGCAGGCACCTGCCACACTCACACGGCCCATCTCCCACAGCATCAGAGGACAGCACGGCAGGCCTGACCCCAGCTCAGGGTGGAAGATTCCAGCACAGGTCCCAGAGAGGTCAGGAGGGTGAGCACTGGGATGGGCAGAATCTTCCAGAAGCTCCCTTCTGGAACCACTAGAAAGAGAGACTCATCCTGGCACCCTGGCTTATCAGCCTCGGATGAGTGACTTCACCTGTGTGAGCCTCAGTTTTGTCACCTGGAAAGCGGAGTAAGGGTTCGCTGTGAGGTCACGTGGTTTAGAACATGGCCTGACCTTCTGTCTTTTATAAATGTTAGCTACTCCTCTTATTGTCATCATCACATTCCCTCCTCCAAGGCAGGGATCAGCCGTCGGGGGGCCTGGTGGCCTGGAGACCAGCTCCGGGGACAGTTAAGCTGGGCAGTACCTGGAGACGGGTGGGCTCACTGCCTGAGCCCTGCATTGCCGGCCCTGGCAGCTGATCAGACATGGCGGGTCCCACATGGGAGCCAACTTGGCTGGACGGCCAGGGGCTGCTGGGCTGCCCTGGACACATGGGGGCCTGCCAGGGGGAGGTGCAGACTTGGCTTGGCACATCTCCTGGAGAATTCTTGGGCTGGGTCAGGCCTGGTAGGGATGGGCCCCAGCCGGGGATACGTGTGGCCAGCGTGGAATGGGGGTCTGATTTCCCAATTCTCCCTCGTTGGGGTCACGTCCACTTTTCTTTTGTCTGACTCTTTGCTTTTTCAGCTCCCCAGACATTTTCAGTGGCCCAAGGGCTGGAGGGGGTCATGGTAGCCCTGGTAACCAACTACAAGGCAGAAACCCTCTCCGCAAGCTGACTGGGGGTGACGCGTGCTCGCCACTTTTCACCCGAGCACGGTGACCCACTCAGAGTCACAGAGCTCAAGGGTCGGGCCTTGTTGCAGCCTTGAATTTTCCCAGCTGGTGTGGGTGGCCCTGCCTTGGAAACTCCTGACCTCAAATGGCCCAAGGCCAAGTCCTCCCAGCTGGTTCCAGACCTCAATATACTATGTGTTCTCGGCCAAGGGCCCCTTCCTGGGCCTTTGTCCCTTGGGTGCAGAGATCCGGTTGGCCCAGTACAGGCGGAGATCCTGTGGTTTTGACAGTGTCTGGACCCCACCCACTTTGAATGGCCCCAAACAGGTGCCTGGCAGGGAGGCCTCCATCCTGTCCTTTGTCATCCTCCAAACTGTCGTCCGGACCCAGAGCACTATTTAAAGAGCCATCCCTGAGAACCTCCAGCCCTGCTGTGACGAGAGGGAGCTCTCCAGACCATGGTAGGCTGGGGCTGCCCCGCCTCCTGACCCTGACCTCACCCCTCAACTCTGACCTCATCCTGTGACCTTGACTTCGTGTGTGATCCTGACCTTCACCTCATGCCTGAACTCACCCTGACCTTGACCTTGCTCCTCTCGCTGACATCCTTGACCTTGACCTGATGTTGTCCCTAGTCCTGACCTTTTTCCTCACCCTTGATGTTATCCCTGCACCCGACCCGCCCTGGACTGTCCTTAATGGGCAGCCAGTCTATCCATGTAGGTCCCAATTTGCATCTCTGCTTCCTGGACCCATCGGGGGCTGCTGAGGTGCAATGGCGGGGGAGGTAGGAGTGAGGACGAGGAGGGTGGAAGGAGACAGGGTGGGCGAGGCTTGGAAGTTTCATGGCAGAAGCAGGACTCTGCTCCCATTAAGAGGACATGGTTCCCTGGGGAACCAGGGTTGATATTCCAGGATAGCCTGGGTCCTCTGCGGACTGGTATGAGGCCTGCCCTGCTGCCCTCCCCCCGTCTCTGGCCCCTTGGGTGTCCCCGCAGGCTCTCAGTGGCATGGCTTTCTCATGTCCCTGTCTCACACCTTCACGCTCCCTCCTGGCCTGAGAACTCTCACCTGGCTGTCAAGCCTCAGCTCAGAGGCCACCTCCCCCGAGAAGTCTGCCATGAATGCCCCCAATGGCATAAGGGCTTCTCTGTGTTCTCAGTGTCTGTCCATCCCTCCCCACTGATCATCTGTCTCCCAGCTGGACCGGGGGATCCTTGGGGACAAGGCGGGGTCTGATTCAGCGCTGGGTCCCCAGGACGGGGCACAGGGCCTGGCTGGAAGTCAGCAGCAGGCACCTAATCAATGTCCCGATGCTCTGAGGTAGGCATCATCTTGGTTTTATAAATGGGGAACCTGAGGCTCAGAGCAGGCAAGTGATGTTCTCAACGTCGCAGGGCTGCTCAGGTCTGGGTGACCCCCTTCTGCCCTGAGGTGTTCCCTTAGGAAGATGTTCGTTTCTTTAGGGGCACATTGTAAAAGGCAATTTCCAAGATGGCTGGGCTGGGAGAGCAGGGGGCCGCTCAGGGCCCTGGGGCTCAGGGTGCCCCCGGGGAGCCCGAGAGAACAATCCCGTCCTCCCTTGGGGGCTCTGGAGGAGGGCCTGGCACACCGTGGGGCGACGGTCCACGACAGGGACACGGAAGGCTGGCTGAGACAGGGCTGGGGGACACCCAGGCCAAGGGCAGGTCTGAGGAGAGAGAGGGCAGACTATCCCACAGACGGAAGTGATTGTTTTTTATTAATCAGAGGGAAATGTGTATGTAATTATGTGAGATGAGCCCCGCAGGGAGGTTCCTTTCTTTATGATGTCTGAAGGGATTTATAAATATTACAGAGGTTTTACAGCACATAACGTCCTGGCTGCCCTGCGAGCCCTGTTTCAAAGGATTAGTGGAGACAAAGCACCCAGTAAAAGCTAATTATAAGTCAGCCGTTACTGCTGCTCCTGAGCCTGGGAGCCGGAGGGGAAGTGGGGGTGAGCGCGGGCTGGGGGGACAGGCGTGAGCTCGGGGAGAGGAGACCACACAGGGGCCAGGGGCGGGGGAGGCAGGGGAAGCCCCCGCTCTGGGGTGGGGTGGGCAGAGGCTCGGCACCCCTGACATGGAGGCAGGGGCGCTGGGCTGGGGGGGGACACCCCACTTCCCCCTCCAGCCCTGTGAAGTCCGGGCTGTGCTTTCCCACCTCACGAGCCAAGTCTGAAAGTCCTTGGTGATAGCCGCTGAGGGCGAGGCCCCCTGGGGGGGGTCTTGGGGACCCAGAGCTTTCAGGGACTGCTCAATGGTGGGCTCTCAGGCCCCTGATATCCTGAGAGAAGCATGTGGAGGCAGGAAGGCTGGCCAGAGACCCTCCGTGTGGGGGGTCGCCTGCTCTACCTGCTGTGGAGATGGTTTCTGAGCTCTGGGCAGACGTTTCCCGATGGAGCCGCACTCCGAGCTGGGCCCTGGGTGGGCGCAGGGGAGCCCCGAGGTGGGACGGCCGCAGGGAGATATGGGTGGACTGTGTCCCCTCTGCTATGCCGCCTGGGCCCCCCACCAGGTCAGGGAGCCGCTGACCAGCCTGTGGGGTGGGGGCCCCCAGGTTTCTGGCCTCAGGCTGGACAAATGCCCCCCCCTTATCCACAAGGCTTCCTTAGGAGCCCTGTCTGTCTGCTGCACCCTGTGGCCCAGGGTGGCCGTTTTGTTCGGGACCATGACACGCTGGGAGGGGAGGTGTGGGGGGCGGGCGGGGTGCATGGTTGACCTCCGGCGGAAGGCCTTCGGCAGTACCCCACCTGGCACCTCCCAGGCACCCAGAAGAGCCCGCAAGAGAGCCGAAGGTGGAGCCGGCTCCAATGTCTTCTCCATGTTTGATCAGTCCCAGATCCAGGAGTTTAAAGAGGTTGGTCAGTGCCCTCTGGGGCCACCGGGGGGGAGTAATGCAGTGCATGGAAACACTCAGGGGTCTGGCAAGGCCCCGGGTTGCCCTCAGTCCCTGGGGGTGATGATGATGTCACTATCCTTAGAGGCCGCCATGGTGTGCCTCTGAGCCCGGAGACGTGACTTGCGGTCTTTGGGCAACCCCTGCCCCTCTCTACCCGAGCCTTTGCTTGCTGCGTGACCTCAGGCGAGTCCTTCTGCTCTCTGAGCCTCAGTTTCCCTCTCTGTAAAATGGGGTTGCTGCGGCATGAAGTGAGGGATGGGCATGGCATCCCAGCTGTGTGTTGGCGTGCGGTGGGAGCTGAGTGGGTCAGCCAACACTCTCGTGCTGGTGCTGTGCTGAGCCAGGACACCGGCTGGCCAGAGGTTACCCAGGCAGCAGTGTGCAGGACGACAGTCCCTTGGGGGAGCAGGGTTCTGGGGAGGGGCCTGGGCTTGGGCGAGTGGGTAGGAGGCTGCTCAGTACCCATGTCTCCACCAGGCCTTCACCATCATGGACCAGAACCGGGATGGCTTCATCGACAAGGAGGACCTGAGGGACACCTTTGCTGCCTTGGGTGGGTGACCAGCAGCTGCGGGGGCTCAGGGCTTGGGGCAGAACCGAGCCCAGGCCTTCTGGAAAGAGTGGGTGTCTGGGGACAGGCCAGGGCAGCAGTTGTAGTGGGTGTGAGGGGCTTGGGGGCCGTGGGGGCACAGGGGAGGGGTGGCCTGTGCCTGGAAGGTACGATCTGGGCCGAGGACGCAGGGAGGGCAGCAGGTGCACAAACGGCCCATGCAAAGGCCTGGCTTAGGAGGCCGGGGCGGGGCAGGGGCCAAGAGAGCAGTGGGAGATGCTGGGGGAGGGGGCCGGACACGTCTGCAGGGCTCAAGGCTACCGGGTCTCAGCTGCCAGGGGAGGCTTTTGCCCTCTCTAAGGGCCCAGGGAGAGGACTTAAGGCGTGAATAGGGAGGGGGTTCAGGTCAGGGGAAGGGGGCATAACCAAGTCATGTCTAAACTAAGCTTTGAGCTCTCGGAGATGTGATTGTCCGCTGGGACCATGAGGAACCCCAGAGTCCACCCACCCCCGGATGACCTCCTCCTGGGGCACATGAGCTCTGAGCTCCGGGTCTTCTGGTCCCTATGCACCTCCACTGCAGCTTCTTTGGGCCTCAGTTTCTTCATCTGTGAAATGGAGATAATCACCAACTTGCTCTCCTGTCCAGGGAGGCCAGGGTGGTAGCAGGGGGAGGGGGCAGCCTTGCTGTGGCTGAATGTGTCCCCCTCTGAAGGTTCCCCAGCAGGTGGGCAGGGCCTGAGAGCTGGGGGGGGTGGTGGGAGGGTAGAGCTGGGAAACCCTGCAGGAAGCTCCCTGGTCCTGAGCTCTGCTTTCCTGGGCTGCCTGCAGGCAGGGTCCCTTTGTCCCTCATTGCGCTCCTGGGTGTCCCTCCCCCTCCCCCAGGCCGCATCAATGTGAAGAACGAGGAGCTGGAGGCCATGGTGAAGGAGGCCCCCGGGCCCATCAACTTCACCGTCTTCCTGACCATGTTTGGGGAGAAGCTGAAGGGTGAGTGAGGCCCCAGGTGGCCCTGGGGAGGGGCTGGGCAGCCTGGCTCTGTGTGCAGACACCTGGGAGCATGGTGTGGCCCCAGCTGCCAGCCCCCTGGGACCCACCCCAGTTTCCACTTCTACACCAGGGTAGGAGTAGGGCCTCCTGGGGGCGGGAGGGGACAATTTGTGTGAAAGCCCTCTGCCCACCAGGGGCCCCAGCCCCACTTCCCTTCCCCTGGGCTCGCCTTACCTGCCCTGCCTCACAGCCAACAGGAGGAGGGTCGCCGGGAGTGCAATTCTGGACGTAAGTTACTACGACTGACCCCAGCTCCGGGAGGGTCACTCAAACAGCTTCCAGGGAACAGCTCGAGGGGCTCAGAGCTGTCACCATACTTGTGCCAGGCACCCGCGCATCAAAGTGGCGGGGATAGAACCCTAACCACGACTCTGGGCTCTAACCATGGTGCCTCCCGAGATGCAGCATCGGGCTGGGGGCGTGGGGTCAGGGCAGTGGTCCAGGCAACTCTGTCCCTTTCTCTCTGGGCCCCGGGGAGCTACCCTCTGACCCTTTGTAGCGTTTTCCTGGGCTCGAGGCTTCCCTGGGCAGAGGGAGGGGCCAGCCTGGGCTGAGGCTGCCCTGGGAGGGGAGACTCCTCCCCACCCACACTCGGCCTGCACCTGCTGGATGCCCTCCCACTGATCCCTGCGGGGTGACCTTGGGCCAGGCTTGTCTGCTTTGCACCTCCATTTTCATAATGTCTGTAAAACGGGGGTTGTGTTGGTTTCCTGAGGCTGCTCTAACAAAGAACCACAAACTTGACAGCTCAAAAAAGCCTCAATGAGTTCTCTCAGTTCCAGCGTCTAGAAGTCCGAAATCCGTCAAGAGGCTCTATCAGGGGCTGGAGGGGAGAGCCCCATTTTTTTTTTTTTTGCCTTTTCTGGCCTCCGGTGGCTGCCTTGCTCCAATCCCTGTCTCTGTGGTCCCACTGTCCCCCTCCTCTTCTGTCTGCCCATCTCCCTGTCCCTCACTCTTAGAGGGACACTTGTCACTGGATTTAGGGCCCATCGGGATAGCCCAGGATGATCTCCCCATCTCAACATCATTTCCTTACGTCTGCAAAGGCCCCTTTTTCAAGCAAGGTGACATTTCCAGGTTCCAGAGATGAGAACATGGGCATATGTTTTGGGGCCACCTCAACCCACTCCAGGGGTGACCCTGGCCACATCACTGATTACGTTTGGCAAGAAATCCTAACAGTCTCGTGGGTTGAGGCCAGCTGGGAAGTATAATAACCTCCACACACCCTGTCCTGGCTGATCCTGGAGCTAAAGGCCAACAATAGACCTGCCCTCCCGGGGAAACTGAGGGCCGGACATGGAGCCGGAGGGGAGCCTAGAGCTCTGGGAAGCTCATTAGGGCTTATTCCCAGGACCGTGGCCTCCTCCTTGAAGAGCTCAGAAGCCCGGGGGGCTGGGGCAGAGGTATACTCCTGGGAAAGACTTGAGGGACTCTAGCTGGTGACTCTACGTGGGAGGCCTGAAGTTCGCGTGGGTGCACGGCTGAGCTAAGAGCCATGACCCAGGGCCAGGTGGGTCCCCACAGGGGCCAAGAGACTGCAGTTTTTTTCTCAGTTTTGCAGGGGTCCCAGGATGGGGGCTCCGTCTGAGCTTGTCACGTGAACTTGGCTGAGCCTGCACACTCGGCCAGCAGTGGGGACAGGAGCCGGGGGGCTGGCGCAGGCCCCGTCATCCCTCTAACTGGGATGAGGACACTTGGTCACGTGATTCCCAATGGCCACTCTGTGGCCCATTCGTTTGTGTGGTTTGCGGTCTGCAGAGCAGAGACCCTCTCTGGGGGGAGAGAGGGGAGGATTGGACTGTGGTCACTGTGGGGACACTGGGCCTGAGCCCGGGGCTGCTGGTCCTCAGGAAGGTGGGTTGGAGCCAGCCCACCCCAGCAGCGAGGACTCTTCACGTGCGCTGGGAGGCCAAGACCTCCCACCAGCCCCCCACCATAATCCCTGGGGCACCCCCTCTCTGCTTCCGAGGCCAGGCAGTGAGTTCCTGGGGCTCTGCCCCAGAGGGACCCTGGGCTGAGCCTCTTGGGCTGGGCACACGGGCTCCCTGCTGCCCTTGGCGGAGGAAGCCCACAGCTGTGCCCTCCCCGAACTCCCAGGCCAGCGGGGCCAGACTTGCGCCAGGCTCGGCCCCTCGCTCGGCCTCAGAGACGCCGAGTGACTCAGATGGCATCCTGTCGGGAGGAGGCCCCAGTCTGGCAGGCAGGAGCACAGAGCAGCAGGGAGCTCTGGAGTCCAAAGAGGCGGCTTCAGACCCTTCCTCCCGTTCTTCGTGGGGACCTCAGGCAAGGTCCTCTGTCTCGGTTCCTTCTTTGACAAACTGTGGACATCGATACCTACTGCACGGGGTGTTCTGGTGGGGGGGGCGGTTCCTGGGAGCCAACAGGGCACAGAGCACTCAGAGGGGTTTGCGACCGTGACCCATCAATGTTTGACCCGATCTTTACCGTTAATGACCCCTTTTGCAAGCTGATCCTGGGAGGTGGGCAGCAAACACACCTTTCCCTCCATGTCGCTGGTGACAGAGCTGAGCCTTGAGGAAGGAAGGGGACATGCCTGGTCTGCAGTGAGCGGGGTGGCAGTGTGACAGAGGGGAGAGAGCATCAGGGAAGGGTCACCAGATCGCCTGCTGTCATTCATAGCTGTGAGGCCTTGGGCCAGACCCTGCTTCTCTCTGGGCCTCAGTTTCCCCATCCATACAACCAGGGGCTAGCTCTTCCAGCCCGTTGTGGTAATAGACATTCCTTCTAATGACATCGTTCCCCCAAGCCCACACCGGGGTGTGGGGGTTGGTGACAAACCAGAACTGCTCTGCCCTCCCTCCAGCTCACTGCCCTCCACCCGCCCCATCTCTGGCCTGGACCATCTTGCAGACCCTCCAGTGCCCCTGTCCAAGCCCAGCCTTCAGCCCCCAAGTACAGCACTGTCTTTTTGGACCTGCCAGCTCTCATGCACATCTTGGGTCACGAGGGAGCCCCAGAAGTGCCCCCACCCCAACCCCACCTCACTAATCTGAGCTTCAGTTTCTTGGCCTATAAAATCAGGCCAGTCATCAGGAGGGTTAAGCATACAGTAAGTGCTCAGTTGGGGTCTCCATGTACAGCTGAGCAGGCTGCTCATAACTACACACAGTGCTCTTGGTCATTACTCCTATTGCTTGTTTCTCAGAAATTTCCCTTTTCTTGCTCCCACTGTGGAGTAGAAGTTGGGGAGGAAGCCCAGCCCCCAGCCCTGGCCTATGCTCTTCGCTCTCATTCTTTTCCCGCCTGTATGTGCTGTTTTCTAGGTACGGACCCGGAGGAGACCATTCTCCACGCCTTCAAGGTGTTTGACACCGAAGGGAAAGGTTTCGTCAAGGCTGATTTGTAAGTGCCCTCTGCCCTTCATTTGGTTTTTCTCTCCCCAAAGGCTCAGGTGATCAGTGAGCCGGGGTGAGGTCAGGTGGGTTGCGGCCCGGTCTCCTCCCCCACCCAGCTCGGTCAGTGTCTGGCCAGGAGCCAGGCGGGCACTGCCCTGCCCAGCTCAGCCATCGCTCAGTGTCCCCCCTTCCCCTCTCTGGGACCCAGTGTCCCCATTTCTGTGTGGAAGTGTATATAGAGGGAGTGTAGGGTCACCAGGGGTGGGTTTCCCAGTGGTAGAGGTGGGCCTTGAAGGGCAACAAAGGGTTGCCTAGGCTGGGGCAGGGAACATTCTAGATGCCAGAACATAGCTGTGAAGGGATAGGGCTTGGCGTTTGCGGGACTGGTAAGGGGGTGGCTGGAGGGTGCGGGGAAGCTGGGTGGGGGAGGCTGAGCACAGAGAGGGCCTGTGTGGGGCAGCTCATGCAACAAGCCCTGGACTCCGGGTCTGCCCTGGGGGCCACTGGGCTGGCATTGTGGAGGTGGGGGCCCCGATGTCTGCTGTGCCTCAGCCCAGTGAGAGCACTGAGCAGAGCCGAGGGTGGTGGGTGGGGCGGCCTGCGCAGGAGCTAGGACACTGAACTGTCCCCGGGGAAGTCCCTTCAGAGCCTCCGAGGTCTCACTGGGCCTGTGGGTGGCCTGAGGCAGGCAGCATTTCCTCCCCAGGCACATGCTTCCTGACTGATTACTGTGATGCTTGAGGCCTTGGCTTTGAGGCTAGATTTGCTGCCCGCTAGAATCATCCCGTAATGGGGACGGGTGGGGGAGGGCAGGAGAGGGCGGGGGGTGGGACGGGGGTGAAACCAGACAAGGTCCATCTTGTCTCTCACACCTTCTCACCACCCCCCACCCCCCAAAGTTGTGAGGCACATGCTCGCCAGGGGTAGGTGAGGGGTTGTTCAGGGTTTCTGCAGGCTGGGGCCCTCTCCTTCACCCCTCCCTCAGGGTCCCTGATTCCCACAGCCATCTTGGGGACCCCCAGGAGGCACTGAGAGCAACCCCAGGAGTGGTCTGGACCAACCCCTCTCCCGGCACGCACCCTCACTCCCCCCAGTGCCAGGCCAGGAACACTTCAGGGACCCAGTTTGGGAACCGAAGGCCTCACCCCCGGGGCTATTGGACCTGGAAGACGTGGCTGTCTTCCAGGCCACAGAGGAGGCTCTGGCTGAAACGGAGTCTGTGAACAGTCCCCAGCTCAGAGAGTCGGAAACTGTGACTGTCCCACAGTAACATAAATAATGGAAAATGCGTGTCGGTCCTTAGCGGGCTGGCCTCTGCCAGCGCCACGGGACACTTGGCGCTCAGGCCTGGCTCAGCCCTCTGATCCCTTCCCTGCCCGCTGTGCCCCCCGAGAGGCCGGGGGGGTAGCCCTCCAAGCTCCCGGGGCATCAGGCTTCTGGAGCTTCACCTCCTGCCGCTCCTCCAGGCCCCCGGGCAGCTCTGGCCCCACACTGTCACTGCCGGTCCTGACATCTCCCAAACCTCAGCAGTTTCTCTGTGAAGGGGGCTCATAGCCCTGGCTTCCCAGGGCTACGAGGAGCAAAGGAGACCTGGGCAAGGCTTTATCATGCCTCGGCCGAGTGCAAGCCCGTTGTACTCTCGAAGGCAAGATGCACATGTCAGCGCAAGTCCCTGGCTGAACCAGCGATGCATCTAGAGGAAATCGAGGGGTCCATCTCAGGCCACACAGACATCTGGCCGGCGTCCTCCTGGGGCACAACGCATCCCCACCGCCTGTCCCCTCTCACCCCCCACCCGGGATCTGCATGTGCACCCCCGGGGTGGCCCTTCCCCTGAACCTGACCCTTCCTCTTCCCCTCGAGCAGCATCAAAGAGAAGCTCATGACCCAGGCCGACCGGTTCAGTGAGGAGGAGGTGAGTACGTGTTTTCCAGGGCCCTGCCTAGAATCTTCCGCGGGAGGTCCTGCCCGGCCCAGGCCCTTCTCAGCAGCCCCTCCCCGAGAGATGGCTCTTGTTTAGATGCCGACATGATGACCCCTTTGACTCCTGGGAAGGGGACAAGGCTGAGTGGGGCTGGCTGTGGGCCCATGGCCACCCCTGCCTCCATCTGCAGAGAGGGGAGCCACGTTCTGCCTGACGCCCTCGGGTGACACCCCCCCTGACTCTGGTCCCCCTTCCACCCGAGTCCAGGCTGACTCCCTGCTCCTTCCCCAGGTCAAGCAGATGTTTGCGGCTTTCCCGCCAGATATGTGTGGTAACCTGGATTACCGAAACCTGTGCTACGTCATCACACACGGAGAGGAGAAAGACTAGAAGCCCAGGGACCCCCCCCCCACCAACACTGGGAGGCAGCAAACACCCGCCATGTTTTGGGGGTGACCCCTGGGGAGCCCCCTACAGCCAACGTGTGCAAAGGAAAGGCTCCCCTCGCCCTGCGGCTCAGGGGCAAAGCGAGAATAAAGAATGCTAACAAGGCCTGAGTTTTCGTGATTAATGCTCCGGTTGGGGAGAAAGCGAAACATTCCTGCGTTGTTGGTTTTTCCAAAACTTTTTTACTTCCCCAGCTTTGCTCAAATGTTCCTGATGAGCTGGTGTTTAGAACTAATTGACAGTTTTAATGATCCCCAGCTGGGCCACAGGACATGCCTTCATTTAGGAAGCTTTTATTGAGCACCTAGGGCGTGCCAAACCCCCGTGCCGGTCCGGGGGACACCCAGATGAGCCAACCCTGTCCCTGGGCTGGAAGGTGGTGCAGTGAGCAGGACAAGAAGTGGGGTGGGGGCACAGGGAGAGGCGTCAGAGCAATGCTCCCTAGGGCTGGGCAGAGGCCAACAAGGTAGAGACGAGGGGGTGGAGCCAAGAAATGTTTAAGGAGCAGGTGAGGATTCCTTAAAGAAGACACACGTAGCACCAACCACAAAATGAAAATGCGTAAGTTGGACTTCATCAAAAGTAAACATTTCCCCTCAGCGAAAGACATGATCCCGGGGTCCTGGGATCGGGTCCCATGTTGGGCTCCCTGCTCAGCGAGGAGCCTGCCTCTCCCTCTGCCCCTCCCCTTGCTGGTGCTCACACACTCTCCCTCTCTCTCTCAAAAATAAGTAAATAAAATCTTTAAAAAAAAAAAAAAGACTTCATGGAGAAACATTTTTTAAAAACCCTACACATCCTTAATGGAAAGCTAACAACCACACACACACACACACACACAAGTAAATGCCAAAAAATCTCCAAATAGCCGGCTAAGAAAGACCTGAAAAGATGCTCAACTTCAATGCTTGTAAGGAAAATGTAAATGAAAACCTCCTTACAGAGCACACTCACCAGAATGGCTAAAGTTAAAAAGATTGACAACGCCAAGTGTTGGCGAGGTTGTAGAACAAACAGAACTCTCGAGGTTGGGTCTCAGGAGCGTGAAGTGGGTCAACCCCTTTGGCAAACTGGGGCAGCACTTCCTCCTGAAGTTAAAATGGATACATTTCCTGACCTAGCACTCCCGCTCCTACACAAAGACCGCCAGAAATGTCCGTCACATGTCCTTCGAAAGACAAGTGTGAGAACTCACAGATCTATAAGAGTCCCAAATTGGAAACAAGACAATGATCTTGATCTCAGGCTTGTGAGTTCCAGCCCCACGTTGGGGATAGAGCTTACTTAAAAATAAAATCTTTTTTTTTTTTTGAGATTTTTATTTATTTATTTGACAGAGAGAGAAAGCACAAGCAGGGGGAGCGGCAGGCAGAGGGAGAGGCAGGCTCCCTGCAGGGCAGGGAGCCCGATGCGGGGCTCCATCCCAGCATCCCGGGATCATGACCTGAGCCGAAGGCAGACGCCCAACTGACTGAGCCACCCAGGCATCCCTAAAAATAAAATCTTAAAAAAAAAAAAGACACACACAAAAGAGAGCATAGTTCTTTCTTTAACTTTTTAAAATAATAGCATACTTTAAAATAACTTTTTTAAGGTATAATTCATATACCATAAAACCCTTCCTTTTAAAGTATATAATTCAGTGGTTTTTAGTATACTCACAGGGCTGTGCACCTGTCACCACTATCCATATCCAGGATATTTTCATTGCCCCCCCCCCAAAAACCCATTAGCAGTCACTCCTCATCCCTTTCTGTGCCAAGTCCCCAACAACCCCCAATCTAAGTTCTTTTTCCATGGATCTGCCTATTCTAGACATTTCATATAAATGGAGTCATACAGTATATGGCCTTTGGTGTCTGGCTTCTTTGCATAATGTTTCCATGGTTCCTCTGTGTTGTGGTACTTTTCCTCTTTATAGCTGAATAACATTGCATTGTGTGGCTAGACCACATTTTGTTTACCCAGTCATCTCTTGATGGACATTAGGGATGTTCCCACTTTGGGGCTATTATGAGTAACAGGGCTGTGAACATTCATGTGCAAGTTTTCGTGTGAGCATGTTTTTTGATTCTCTTCTAGGAGTGAAATTGATGGGTCATATAGTAACTCTATATTTAACTTTTCCAGGAATTGCTCAACTGCTTTTCAAAGCACCTTTTCAAAGTGACTGCACCATTTTACATGCCCACTGGCAACGTTCGAAGTTCTTCTACTTTCTTCACATCCTCACCAGCACTGTTATTTTTGGTTTTTTTTCTTTTTTTCTTTTTTAAATTTTTATTTATTTAAGTAAGCTCTACATCCAATGTGGGACTTGAACTCACAACCTGAGATCAAGAGTTGCACACTCTATCAGTTGAGCCAGCCAGGTGCCCCACTGTTGCTGTTTTTTTTTTAATAGCCCTCCTAGTGGGTGTAAAGTGGCATTTTATTTTGTTTTTGATTTGCATTTCCCTAACGATTGATGATGCTGAGCATCTTATCATGTTCTTATTGACCATTTTTATATTTTTTTTGAAAAATGTCTTTTCAGCTTTATGACCCATTTTTAAATGGGTTATTTATCTTTTTGGTTGCTGAGCTATAAGAGTTCTTTATATATTTTGATACTAGGTTCTTTAGATACATGATTTGCAAAAATGTTCTCCCATTCTGTGGATTCTCTTTTCACTTTCTTAATAGTGTTCTTTAATGCTTATTCTTTTATGTCTCAATGTCCTGCATTTAGGACATTGAGACATCTTGAGGGTTTTGTTGTTGTTGTCTCTGGTGTGAAGTAGGGGTCCAGCTTCATTCTTTGCCTGTAGATATCCAGTTCTTCCAGGATTTGGAAGAGTGAGACTATGTTCCCACCTTGAGTGGTTTTGGCATCCTTGTCAAAGATGAACTCATCAGAGCTGTATGGGTTTATATCTGGACTCTCATTTCCAATCCATCCATCTCGATGTCTCAGAGTGTGTATTTTTTTGATTCTACTTAGGTGGAGTTCAAAATCAGGTGAAGCTAATTTATGGAGGCAGAAGGCAGAATGATGGTTATTTCTCGGGTGGGGAAGGGCCATGAGAGAAACTTGTGGGAGATGAAAACCCTCCATGTCTTGATCTGGTGGCACGTACTCATGTATAGACATGTAAGGTGATCATACGATCTAAGATTCGAGCTGTTAATGTACTTTACTATACTTATGTTCTATCCCAACAGGAAGGAAGGGAGCAAGAAAAAGGAAAAGGAGAGAGAAAGAAAGAGGAAAGAGAAAAGACAGTATGATCAGGAGAAAGGGTAGAGATGATGGGCATCAGGGGGAGCCGTGGGGACATGGCTTTGGTGACTGATGGTGCCCTGCCCTGGGTAGGGGGGAGGACTCGGAGGAAAAGTGGCTCCGGGGAGAGATGCTGAGCTCAGTTTGGGGCTTGGAGTGTGAGTAGTGAGGTGCAAGAGGCAGATGGATGCTATGTCTAGGGCTCTGGGAGCCAGGACCTGGGCCTAGCCTGTGAAGGTATAGACGGCAGCGGGACCAGAAGAGTCCACGGAGTAACCCCAAGCCCTTAGAGCAGGAGGAAGACCAGGCAGAGACTGGCGGTCAGCAGGCCGGGAGGCGAGACCCGAGGGAGAAGATCGGGTGGAGAAATGCCAACAACGTGGGATCCGAAGTGCCAGGCCCCAGGCTGAGGTCTGCACGTGCCCTTAGGCATCTCAGCCATGTGAAAGCAGGACCGGAAAGGGAGGACAGAGTTTGCCCAAGGTCATTGGTGGAGCTGGAAGGGGAACCCAGGCAGCCCGGCTCTGAGCCTGCACCCGTACGCTCTACCCCACGCTACCAGTCGATGCAGTGGGATGCGGGGGGGGAGGGATGGAGTCCTCGTTGCCTCTGGGGGAGGTGGAGAGAGAGGTGTGCCCATCAACCCGGAGCTCCCCAGCTCAGATCACAAGGGCAAGGTCTGCGAGCAGGGGCTGGGGAAGGCCCACGGCAGAGGAGAAGCAGTATTCCAAAAGAGCCTTCTCTCCACCCAGGCCTTGTTCTTTCTGCTCTCTAAGAGTTTGGCTTTCCTGGAAATCAAGGTCTCCGCTGCTGAGGAACTCGTCAGACCTGTTCGTGCCCTGAGGAACCAGGCCAGGGCCAAGCTGGAGGGAACACACGCCATGGGCACCTGCTCGCCCGCTGACAGCTCCGGGCTGCCCTGCTCCGTGACACCCCGCTCTGCCTGCCCTGCAGTGACCCAGCTCCGCAAGGACACAGGGGCGGCCAGCCGGGAAGGCCCCAGGGGCTCCATACGGCTCAGGAGAGGAGACTGGGGGCCCATTCATTCCTCTGTCCTTCAGACATCCATCCACTTACACCCCCTCTGTTCCAGGGCCCAGAGATGATCAGTAACACCAGGAGCACCCACCTCTGTCCTCAGTGGGCTCTGGCCTCACAGGCATGGGAGCGAGCAGACTCCGGTGGCCTAGGAAGAAGAAGGGAGCAGAGTGGTGGGCCAGTCGTGGCTCCACAGAATGGCTGGCTCATGGTTCTTCTCCTTCCAAGGAGGTTCATTGGTGATCTTGGCTGCCCCTGACCCGAGCCCACAGCCAGGGGCCTTTAGTCTCTCTGACTTTCCATCCAGTTCTGTGGAGGGACACTTGGGTTGGCCCCGTGGGACCCCCAGGTAGGTCCCACTGGATCCTCCTCGACTCCAGGAAGCTGGGGTGGGAGTTGAGTTTCCTGAGAGCCAGAGAGAAATTGGGAGCAGCATGCGTGTTAATGGACTCATCATGTCTCCTGAGTCGTATCTGGGATCGCTTTTTAAAGGTACAAGAACTCCTTGTGGCCTCCCTAACCTCGCCCTGCACCCTCAACCTCTTGGCTCTGGGCTCCAGCCACACAGCCTCATTTGGCCCCTTGAGTGCCCTACGTTTCTTCCTGCCACAGGGCCTTTGTGTATGCTATTCCTTCTGCCTGGCACACTCTCCTGCCTGGTACCACCCCCTCCTCTGCCCACTGACCCCACTCAGCTTTCTGTTCTCTGCTCCACCTCACCTCCCCAGTGTCTGCTGCTTGGCATGTGCCACACCCCCTCCAGGGCATCTTCATGGCACCATGTGCTTCCGCTGAGGATACATAA